ATGCCGTTTTGAGAAAACCGTAGGTAACGTTTTTGGACCCTTGTTCAGTTTCTTTCAAAGACAAGGAGAGTTTTCTCTATAACAAAACAAATATACACACCAATGAAACCAAACTTCTCCTTTTGGTAGGGCAATGCCCACTTTTGGTGTAGTTTAAGATTTCTGGAAACCCCCAAAATCTGGGTTAGGGGCTTGTCCTTTCTGATTTTCACAGCACACAACTCACGAACAAAACAATGGTCGCTTTTAAGGACAAGCCCCTAACCCAGATTTTGGGGGTTTCCAGAAATCTTAAACTTGTCTTAGAGGTAGGGTGTTCGCCAGTCATTCAATAGGGCCAGGATTCGAAACCTAGCAGCGACGGAAATTTTTTTGTCAAAAATATTATTTTCTCCTTTCACCGTCATTGCTCTCTAATCATGTTCCGTCGTCTGCTTTCGCCTGATCTTAACGGGTAGGTAAGATCTAAGATCTGACCTTCTCGGATAAGGGTGACAAAAAATCACGGAGGTCCTGTGTGCAAATTGTGCAGGTTAAAGATCTTTTGGTGGTTGTAAAAGCGATAAGAGTAGCCGCCATCCAGACAAAACTGGAAAAATAATTCCTAACAAACTGAAAATGCCTAATGTGTCCGGCGCGGTCATATGGGCTTATACAGTTGCGAGCGCCCCCCCAAAAAATTAATTAAAATCAGAGTAGCCTATCGCTTCTACACAACACATTTATTTAGTCGTGCTTCTCTTATTTTCATTGTCTACAACTCACCTACTGGTGAGTGGTTAGCGGGTGCTGTGGTGTGGTTTGTTCTTTCGTTCCTCTCAAACAATACATTTAGTGTCTTTTAACTCTCCTGCTTTAGGGTTTGTAAGTTACACTCTAGTAAAAAGCTCTAGTCTGCCGCATTTACACGCCATGATTGTGTTGTAAGTGCCGTAAAACTCTTACTAAAACTAAAACCACTAGCCTTCGGCACTTAAACGACCTGGTTGTGTTGCAGGTGCCATAAGGCTCCCACTTACAACCACATAAAAACAGTTGGCGAACTATTTTCTCGTAGTGCTGTACTGAGCCGACAACCCGAGTGTTGAGAATAGCATTCTAGGTGACTTTCGGAAAGAAACTAAAAAAGAAAAGAAGATTTTAGTAGGTGTTTTTACGCCTCAACTGGCGCACTTTAGATCTTTTAGGAGGCGGGCTTCCGACCAAGCCGTGGATACAACATTCCAGCATAAAGACCGAGAAACTGGACAAAGTACGTTTCTCCCACTCGGCAATCGAATTGAGGTCTCCTGCTTGCGACAGCGAGCAGTGTAACGGCTGCACTTCGGACACCAGGGAAGAAGAATAATGATATGTGAGGCATCGCGTTGAAATCAGCCGGTCGTCTAAATAATAACATCGAAGAAATCACTATTTTTATGGCCGTTCAGGCAATTTTTATTGCATTTTCTTGTTTTGGCTCAACATCCTTAATGTTCATTTAAAAACACATGATTATTTGTGGATTTTACCGAAAAAAATATACATTTTCAGTTTCCAAGAATTCTCAAGCTTTGGATGTCACCAAACTTTGGCGCCATTTTCTCGCTAATTTTACCTCTGAAACCAGGAGACCCCCACCTTCTTTAATTGGAAATGTCTCGACTTTTATTTAAGATGGATGGGTATTTTTTTCGCCAAAGGCATGACAAATAAGCATGCATTAAGATGATATTCAAGCGTATTTTTACCCCCGAACTGATAAGTCCCACCGCGTCGGAACACAATGTATAATCGAGGTCAATGTGACTCGAGTGTTCACCACAGCTCTCTAAAACCTTGTTTGTGCCTTTGTCGTTACTGCTTGTACTTCCCAGTTTATGACGTTCTGAACGAGGAAAAAGGGGGGGGGGTATATAAACGTCGTCCCAGTTTCCGGCATATTAGAGGTAGATGTCACCGAAACTGACATGGCTCTCTCTCTCTCTCTCTCTCTCTCTCTCTCTCTCTCTCTCTCCCCTCTCTCTCTCCCTCTCTCTCTCTCTCTCTCTCTCCCTCTCTCCCCCTCTCTCTCCCTCTCTCTCTCTCTCCCCTCTCTCTCCCCCTCTCTCTCTCTCTCTCTCTCCCCCCCTCTCTCTCTCTCTCTCCCCCCCCCCTCTCTCTCCCCCCTCTCTCTCCCTCTCTCTCTCTCTCTCTCTGTGTGTGTGTGTGTGTGTGTGTGTGTGTGTGTGTGTGCATGTCTCTCTCTCTCTCTCTTCTCTCTCTCCCCCATCTCTCTCTCTCTCTCTCTCTGTGTTGGTGTGTCATCTCTCTCTCTCTCTCTCTCTCTCTCTCTCTCTCTCTCTCTCTCTCTCTCTCTCTCTCTTCTCTCTCTTTCTCTCACTCACACGCATACACACTCTCTCTCTCTCTCTTTCTCTCTCTCTTTCTCTCTCTCTTCTAGCTCTCTCTTTTCTCTCGCTCTCTCTCTCTCTTTCTCCCTCTCTCTCATTCTTTCTCTTTCTCTCTCTCTCTCTCTCTC